GATTCTGTTGATGTGTTGATTCTCTTTTTCTCTTAATAAGTCTGGCTAGAGGCTTATCTATTTTGTTTATTTTCTCAAAGAACCAGCTCTTGGTTTTATGGATTTTTTTCTATTATTCTTCTCAATTTTATTTCTTCTCTGATCTTTATTATGTCTCTCCTGCTGACTTTAGGCCTCATTTGTTCTTCTTTTTCCAGTTTCGATAATTGTGATGTTAGAATATTCATTTGAGATTGTTCTTCCTTCTTTAATTATGCCTGGATTCCTATATACTTTCCTCTTAAGACTGCGTTTGCTGCATTTCACAGAAGTTGGGGCTTTGTGTTGTTGTTCTCATTTGTTTCCATATATTGCTTGATCTCTATTTTAATTTGGTCATTGATCCATTAATTATTTAGGAGCATGTTGTTAAGCCTCCACGTGTTTGTGAGCCTTTTTGCTTTCTTTGTACAATTTATTTCTAATTTTATACCTTTGTGGTCTGAAAAGTTGGTTGGTAGGATTTCAATCTTTTGGAATTTACTGAGGCTCTTTTTGTGGCCTAGTATGTGGTCTATTCTGTAAAATGTTCCATGTGCACTTGAGAAGAATGTGTATCCTTTTCCTTTGGATGTAGAGTTCTATAGATGTCTGTTAGGTCCATCTGTTCTACTGTGTTGTTCAGTGCCTCTGTGTCCTTACTTATTTTGTGTTTTGTGGATCTGTCCTCTGGAGTGAGTGGTGTGTTGAAGTCTCCCTAAATGAATGCATTACATTCTGTTTCGTCCTTTAATTCTGTTAGTATTTATTTCACATATGCTGGAGCTCCCGTATTGGGTGCACATATATTTATAATGGCTATATTCTCTTGTTGGACTGATCCCTTTATGATTATGTAATATCCTTCTTTATCTCTTGTTACTTTCTTTGTTTTGAAGTCTATTTTGTCTGTTACTAGTACTGCAACACCTGCTTTTTTCTCCCTGTTGCATGAGATATCTTTTTCTATCCCTTGACTTTTAGTCTGTGCATGTCTTTGGGTTTGAGGTAAGTCTCTTGTAAGGAGCATATAGATTTTTTTATCCATTCTATTACTCTGTGTCTTTTGATTGGTGCATTCAGTCCATTTACATTTAGGGTAATTATTGAAATATATGTACTTATTGCCATTGCAGGTTTTAGGTTCATGGTTACCAAAGGTTCAAGGTTAGCTTCTTTAGTATCTTACTATCTAACTTTTCTTGCTTATTGAGCTATTATAAACACTGTCTGGTGATTCTTTATTTCTCTCCCTTCTTATTCCTCCTCCTCCATTCTTCACATGTTGGGTGTTTTGTTCTGTGCTCCCATCTAGAGCAGTCCCTCTGAATACCCTTTAGAGGTGGTTTGTGGGATGCAAATTCCCTCAACGTTTGCTTGTCTGGGAATTGTTTAATCCCTCCTTCATATTTAAATGATAATCGTGCTGGATACAGTATTCTTTGTTCAAGGCCCTTCTGTTTCATTGCATTAAATATATTATGCCATTCTCTTCTGGCCTGTAAGGTTTCTGTTGAGAAGTCTGATGATAGCCTGATGGGTTTTCCTTTGTAGGTGACCTTTTTTCTCTCTCTGGCTGCCTTTAATACTCTGTCCTTGTCCTTGATCTTTGCCATTTTAATTATTATGTGTCTTGGTGTTGTCCTCTTTGGGTCCCTTCTGTTGGGAGTTCTGTGTTGTGATCTGAGCAACTATTTCCTCCCCCAGTTTGGGAAAGTTTTCAGGAATTATTTCTTCAAAGACACTTTCTATCCCTTTTTCTCTCTCTTCTTCTGGTACCCCTATAATGCGAATATTGTTCCATTTGGATTGGTCACACAGTTCTCTTAATATTGTTTCATTCATGGAGATCCTTTTATGTCTCTCTGTGTCAGCTTCTCTGCGTTCCTGTTCTCTGATTTCTATTCCATTAACAGCCTCTTGCACCTCATCCAGTCTGCTCTTAAGTCCTTCCAGAGATTGTTTCATTTCTGTAATCTCCCTCCAGATTTAATCCATTAGCTCTTGCATATTTCTCTGCAGCTCTGTCAGCATGGTTATGACCTTTATTTTGAACTCTTTTTTGGGGAGATTGGTTAGGTCTATCTCACCCAGCCCTCTCTCAGGGGTTGTCTGGACTATTTTGGACTGGACTAAATTCTTCTGCCTTTTCATGGTGATAGAGGTAGCTGTAGGCCAGTAGTGCGTGTGTCAGCTGGGAGAACAAAGTCCTTTCGTGCTTGCTGGTCGCCTTGCCCTTCTCCACTGCCTGTGTCGGTTACCGCACTCCTGGAGCAGCCTCCGGGTTAATCCCCTAAGCTGCTGTGGGCGGGGTCTCCGTCAGAGTAGCACAGAGCCCTGCGGGGAGTGGCAGGCGCGCCAGGTGCGCTCTTCCATAAAAGCGGCACCCCTGCTGGGCAGTTGTGTGCCGACAGCGGCTTTTGGGTCTGGCCCAGGCAGCTGTGCGCCGGGCTGAGCTACTGCTGGGGGCACTGCTTCTCCTGGGCTGCTCCTCCGCCACTGCTGCCGCCTTATGCAGGCCACTCCCGGGCCCCCTGGCACTGCCACGAGCTCGCGTGGGCCTCTCCCAGACCCCTACAATGCTGCTGCTGCTGGCACACGTGGGCCACCCCCAGGCCACTCGGTCGCCGCTGCCCCAGGCTCATGTGGGCCACTCCTGGTCCCTTTTGGTGCTGCCACTGCAGACTTGCACAGCCTGCTCCCCGCCCCCTCTCACGCCACCACCGCAGGTTCGTGCGGTCCACTCTTGCCGCCACTGCCAGCCCATGTGGGCCCGTCCTGGGCCACTCAAGCAGGCTCGCACGGGCCACTCTGTCACCACCCCCGTCACTGGCCCACATGGGCTGGCCCCGGGCTGCTCCACGACAGGCTCACGCAGGCTGCTCCCGGGCCCCTCTGGCACTGCCTCCCCTGGTGCGTGCTGCCACTTTCCCACTACTGGGCCGGTGTGTCAGGGTCTGAGCCAGTTGCGGGAATGACTGGCAGGCTGCTTATCGCCATAATGGGCTTCAGAGCTGCACGGCTGCTCAGGGGGTCAGGTCGCCTAGAGTTTCCCAGATCCCCAGGTGCTGGGGTGCGTGTGTCAGGATAACTTTGTCCAGCTTTGAGGTCCCTGTCCCTTTAAGACTTGGAAAATGCACTTCCTTTTCTTTTGTCTCAGGGGCAGCAGTTGTGGGGACCTGCTCGCAGGGTTTGCTTTTCTGTTTCTCCAGTATCCAGCATCCCATGCACTGTGTGTCTGCACTCCTGGTGTGGATTTCTAGAGCTGGTTGTTTAGCAGTCCTGGGCTTTCACTCCCTCCCCGCTCTGACTCCATTCTTCCTGCCAGGGTCTGGGGTAGGAGGGCCTTTGGATCCTGCTGGGCCATGGCTTATATCTTACCCCCTTCGTGTGATGCTGAGTTCTTGCAGATATAGAGTAGATGTAGCCTGGCTGTTGTACTATATCTACTGGTGTCTCTTTTAGGAATAGTTGTATTTGTCGTATTTTCAAAAATATATATGTTTTTGGGAGGAGATTTCTGCTGAACTACTCACGCTGCCCTCTTGACTCCTGTCCATCCAGGATCTCTTTTATAGAGCGTTAATCTTATTCCCAAAAGCTCCACCTTCATTACCTAAGCACTTCACAAAGGTCCCACCTCCTAATATCATTTGACATTAAGATTTCTACATATGAATTGGCAAGGGAGGGTTGGGAGCAACAGCAGCTGTGCACAAACATGTACACCATAGAACTCACTCTTCTCTAAATAAAATTCTAATAATCCTTAGGAAAGTTCAATCATCACTTTCTCAGGAATGTTTTCCTGACTCCTTTTACCTACCCTCTCTGCTACTTGCCTTCCTGTTAAATGTCCTCTTGCTTTCAGCAATTTTCCTTAATAGTGCTTTTCACAGTTTATAGGTGTTACTGTGTTTATTAGTGTACTTATCCGTGTGTCCCTCTGAGCTGTAAGCTTCTTAAGAGCATAGATTGATCCCGTCTGGTTGTCTCATTATTGTATCCACAGTGCCTAACACATAGAAAACATTCACCAAAGTGCAAAGAAGCAGAATTTGAGAGACAGGAAATAATTCTAGAGTCTGGAGGAGCAAGCAGCTTTCCTGGCTACCTAAAACTTATTACTGTAATGCTGCAAGCATAAATCATTTTACTGTATTTACACAAAGATAGTAGGTATTGGGGAGGTCTTAGCCATTTTCCTTAAATGGTTCTGAAAATAATACTTTCTTTGCATAGAAGCTATGGGTCAAGGGAAAAGATCTTGACAAATTTATTATAAATGTACTACACCTGAAATTGCCCTAAAAAGCCTGCCAATCAATGTATTCAACAGTGTCAGGGGAGCCCTTTCTCATATACAAAGAATAGTATGATTCAAGGATAAACCTTCAACTTCCTATGAAAAACTCTGTTACCCAAGAAGAGTAGGATTCTGTCTTTAAGTATGTGGCTTAAAATCAGATAATAAAAAGAAATACTATCCTTATTCTGGTTCTTCCTAGTTGGTCTCCCTTTCCTGGACAAGGCTTGCAGGAAGATTGTTAACCTGAATTTTCAATCTCTGTTAGATGGTAAGTTCAAGACTTGTAATCCACTAAAAGTTTATTGGAAACTAACAAGTGTAAATGGCTCCTTAAGAACTCTTTCACATACTAAGTTGAATATAAATAACAACAACAATAATAATAATAATAATTTGTCCTTAGAAAAGTGTATTAGACATAATGCTTGGGTAATATTGGGTGGGTTTTAAAAGAAAATTTTTTTAGATTATTACTAGATCTTAAGCAAAGATTAATAAATTAATAATTTTTAAATTATCATTATGAGTACCTATTTTGTATCAGTCATGTGTATTACTTAACATTAACACTGTGAGGTAACATTATTCCCCATTTCACAAATTAGGGAACTACAACTCAAAAGAAGTAAGTGTTGTATTTAGGATCACCCAGGTAGTAAGGCAAGCCAGGATTTAGACTCAGGTTTATGTTACATTTAGGCCCATGCTTTTACCCAAGTTTTATTCTGTATGTGATAGAGGGTTGAGTTTTTATGTTTACTATATATGTTGTTTTATTGTTAGAAAATAAAGTATAGAGGATACTTAGATACCTAGTAATTGAAAAGTTATTTCTAATTTATATAATATTTTTACTTACATATATAAAATATATGAATAATAAGTAATATCCTGCTTTTGATTTTTATTTTCCTTCCTCAGAGGATAAAGCTCCTCCTTCCTCTCTCTTAGTTCATAAGCTTATTTTCCAGTACATTGAGGAAAGAGAATCCTGGAAGAAGAAATGTACAACACAGCATGAAGTCCACAAGGTAAATTCTGATTGAAGTATTTAAAGGAAAATATGTTATCTATCCCAAAAAGCAGAACTGAAATTTTATATATATAATAATGTCATGAAATGATAGATATATTAAATTGTTTAGCTTTTGGGAGTTCTTTGTGAAAGAGTCACTAAGCATTGAAATGTTTTTATGATTTCATCTTTTTTTTTTTCTCCTGTTTTTCCCAGATACTTCAAGAAGTCTCACTGGTAGTAAGCCACTGTAGACTCCTTGGAGAAGAGATTGAATTTTTAAAGAGATGGGGACCAAATTACAACCTAATGAGCATAGATGTGAATAATACTGAGTAAGTATATTGGTTCCTTTAGAGCTGCCATAAACTGGGTTGCTTAAACAACAGAAATTTATTGTCTCATAGTCTCATAGTTCTGGAGACTAGAAGTCTGAGATCTAGTGTCAGCAGGGTTGGTTCTGTCTGAGGGCTGTGAAAGAGAATCTGTTCCATGACTCTCTCCTAACTTCTGGTGATTTGCTGCAGTCTTTGGCATTCTTTGCCTTTTAAATATATAACCCCAATATCTGCTTCCATCTTCACATGATGTTCTTCCGGTGTGCCTGTGTTCATACACACATACATCCAAATATGTCCTTTTTATAAAGTTAGTAGTCATTTTGGATTAGAAGTCCACCCTGCTCCAGCAGGACCTCATCTTAACTAAATAAATTTGCAGTGACCCTATTTCCAAACAAGGTTACATTCTGAGTTACTAGGGGTTAGGACTACAACATATGAATTTGAGGACAGGAACACAGTTCAACCTATAAGTAAGTTATTAGCCAAACATTTATTAAAATAACTAATGTTATTAATGAATTTCCTGATTAACAATGCAAAAAGAACCATAATAATACTTTGTTCCTGATGTATTACCCTCTGTCCATTTGATAAGGGTAAGAAATAATGTAAACTTATGTTTCACATCCTAGTATAAAAGGGAAATGTATTTGTGCTTCATTCTCTTTTTGTTTGAACTTTAACTCGGGATCCTGTCTTTTACAGATTGAGGCTTTTATTCTCCAGTTCTGCAGCTTTTGCAAAGTTTGAGATAACTTTGTCTCTCTCAGCCTATTATCCTTCTGTCCCATTACCTTTTTTCATTCAAAATCACCTTGGAAACATTGGGTAAGTAAAGAGCCAGAATGATCGAGCTCCCAACAACTTTTTACCTTTGTTACCATTTGAAAGGTATTTCAAAGTGGTCAGGAAATACATAGGCCATAATGAGAGCTAAATGTTGCTTCTCTCTAACTTCATTTTTAAAAATTTGTTTTTAGTTGTTGACCTTCATTGCTGTCTCCAGTGGTGGATGCTGGAGACCATTGGTCTATCCTTTTATACTTGCTCCACTTTTTGAATACTACCTAAAACAAGAACTCCAGAAGAAAAAGCTTAGCCCAGATATATATGAACAGCTTTAATGGTCTTAAAAATGGAATAATCACTTAAAAAACTATGCAGTTGTAATACTTTTCTCAATTAGTCTGTGGAAACAAACTTAAAAGTATTTCATTCCTACTATATATTTGTGATTTTTTTAGACACACTGCCAACAGATTGCAAGATAACAGTGAGCATACACCCTTTTCAAATCCATCAACAGACAATAGTTTAGCTTTTTGTAGCCAGAGAAAGCAGCAAATGAGTCAGGGTACCTCACAATTGCAGACAGAATTAGCTCTTAGACCTTGCTTTTTGGAATCTCAATTCAAACTTGACAATCTAATTATTTCTAGAAATGCTTATTTGTGCTTTCTAGGGGACTCAGAGTATCCTCAAAACATGAATTCTACTGAAATAGAAGTATAAGTTTCAGAAAAATTAATTAATCTTTTGTTCTTTTCAGCCAAAATGAAATCACTGCTATTGTTTCTAAAATACCACTGGAGGACAACTACCTAAAGAATGTAGTCAAGCAAATTTACCAAGATCTGCTGCAGGACTCTCCATTTCTACCGCTAGATCCATGGACTGCAGCTGTAACAACTAAACACAGTGTACCTAATAATGATATTACATCAGTCTCCATTGTTATTTAATCTTTATCTTTAGGTCATAGAAAGAAGCCTAGTAAAATTCCTTCTGATGAAATTATAATTAATTTGTATGGTTAGTTTTTAAATCTCTGCAGTTGGGAATGATGAAAGGCCTCATATAGCATACTATTAACTTGCTCGTCTTTCTACCAAAGGTTTAAGCAGTAGACCACTTAAGGAGAATTTCTTCTAACTAAAGTAGTACTCTCTCTCTCTGCCTTAGTATAAGCCCTAAGGAGTAACTTTTAAGTATAAGAGGAGATGTCACTATTTAGAAAAACATTAGCCATTTCCCCATTTATATGAGCTTTTTAGGTTGCCTGGCTTCTGTCTAGGCCATATTTCTGAAGTAGAGACACTTCTGTCTACAAAGTACTCACCATCCTTTTTTTCCATTCCAGAAATGTTATTAATAGAAAGCAGTAGCACTCAGCTATTAGAATGATTGCCATCTTTTCTTGAAGGCCTTGCCTTCTTTTATTATCTGGTATTTACTAGTGTTTTCTTAATAAGTATAATTTTTTAGGGAAGGTTAATTCATTTTGTCCCAATACATGTATGCAAATAATATGTATTAATATTGCTTTTGTGTTTGTGATGTAATAAGAAGATAGATATAGAAATACAGAGATGTGTAACAAGTTACCCTTCTGCCTATGCCGTTTATATCTTTCTGAGAATGCCTTACAGCAAGATTCTCAGCCTCCTTTTATTAAATAATTATACTTCAAACAATATCACATCCAAAACACCATTTTTGCCAAGTTCTGGCATCACTAATGAACTTAATGTGAATATTGGTTTCTGAAGCCACACCCTTCTTGTACACAAAGTATCCATTGATATTGAATAATCAGTGTTATCTGTGAGATAGACAAATGTGAAAAAACTTTTACCCACTCTTTAGTCAAATCCTAATCATGATAATTTTTGTTTCTTTTATATTTAACTCCAAACTAAAATGTATTCACATTTTTAACTAATTAATCTTAAAACTTTGGTTTATACTTTAGGATCAGGTTAAAGTTCTATAGGTCCCATGAATGTTGTTATCCTTCTTAATTGGCTTTTATTTCTGAGCTATTAGTCAAGAGATCACATGGTCTTATAAGCTTCAAAAGTCAACACCAAAACTCATTTGCCATAAAAATCAAGACGTAGATGTTCCCTATTGCCATGAACTCCTTAAAAAAACTTTAAAAATCACCCATATAGTCTGTTTTCCTTACAACTTAAATTAGTTTCTTACTGGAGTTGTTTTGTTTTCTGTAAGCCTAAAATGTAGTTTTGTTTATGCATTATAGTGACCACAAATTGACCAGGTCCAAGAATGATGTGGCTTGTAACAATGGTCTCTGCTTTCCGGGGGTTATAGTACATAAATTGTAATATTTACCTAATTATTTGCATTTTTATTTGTCCAAAGTATTGGCTATTTTTAGAAATGTTTGGAAGGTTTTCCTTCACTGATTTGAAATAGATTTTTTTGAACTATTAAAACAAGTTTATTATATGGAATCTTTTTTAAGCAGTGTCTCTTTTTGAAGTGTTTTACCAATAGACCTTTGAAGAAATACCAAAGAAAGCTCCCTTTAGGAACATCCACTTACATGAAAACTGGGATAAGATTAAAATATGGCAGGACCCAAGAGTAAAAATCAGGTACAAACCATAGCAATCTCTATGTCTCTGAAGGACAATAAAAGAAAACTATTTGAACTTCCTCAGGTGCTATCATTTCCATGAGCTAACAGTGGTTCTCAAAGTATATCCCTAGACTAGCAGCAACTTCACCCCAGTCCTGCTGAATTGGAAACACTAGGAGTGAAGACCAGCTATCTGTTATGTTGTGGGTTTTTTTGGCTTTTCTTATAAACAACTTTATTGAAGTATAATTCACATGTCATATCCACCTTTTAAAATGCACAACTGAATGGCTTTTAGTATATTCACAGATACGTGCGACCATCACCACAATCAATTTTAGAACTTTTTCATCACCTCAAAAAGAAAAACTCACTTTTCAACACATAGTACTGGGAAAATCCACATACAAAAGAATGAATTTGGACCCTTATCTTACACAAAAACAGACCTAAATGTAAGCTTCAACTATAAAACTCTTAGAATAAAACTTAGAGGAAACTTCATGAATTAGATTTGGCGATGAATTCTTAGATATGACATCAAACACAGGGAACTGAAGTAAAAGTAAAGTGGACTATATCAAAATTTAAAACTTTTGTGTGTCAGAGGACATAATCAGAATACAAAGGCATTGTACAGAATGGGAGAAAATATTTACAAATCATGTATCTAATAAAGGTTTAATATACAGAATACACAAAGAACTCTTCCAGTTCAACAAAAGAAAAACACCACCTAATTAAAAAATCGTCAAAAGACTTGAATAAACATTTCTCCAAAGAAGATATACAAATGGCCAACAAGCGCATGAAAAGATACTCAAAATTTGTACTAGGGTAATGCAAAGCAAAACCAAAATGAGATACTACTTATACCCACTACAATGACAGAACCAAAAAGATGGAAAAGAACAAGTGCTGGCAAGGATGTAGAGAAACTGGAACCCTTGTGCACCATTGCTGGGAATATAACATAGTGCAGCTATGGAAAGCAGCATGGCAGTCCCCCAAAAAATTAAAAATAGAATTATTACATGATCTATCAAGTCCACTTCTGTATATGTACCCAAAAGAAGTGAAAGTGCAGACTAACAGTTATTCATGCACCCATGTTCATAGCTATACTCAAATAGTCAAAAGGTGCAAGCAATCCCAGTATCAATCAGCGGATGAATGGATAAATGAAATGTGGCATATTCTTACAATAGAATATTACTCAGCCTTAAGAAGGAAAGAAATTCTGACACATGCTACAATATAGATAAAACTTGAAGATATTATGCAAAATGAAATAAGCCAGTCACAAAGATACTTATGATTCTACTTACATGAATTACTTAAAGTAGTCAAGTTTATAGAGACAAAAGTAGAGAGGAAAGAGGAATGAGTTGTTTAATGGATATAGAGTTTCAATTTCGTAGAATGAAAAAGTTCTGGAGACTGTACAGCAATGTAGATGCACTTGACACTACTGAACTGTACACTTAAAAATAGTTGTCAAATTTTTTATGTTTCTTTTTACACGATCCATAGGCATCGCTGTGGAACCAGATGGGACCCACCAGCCTGGCTTTGTGGGTATTCGATTCTGCCACAAATATAACATGCTTTACCCCAGAGGACAAGGAGAGCCACATTCTATGCTATGCCTGCAAGATTGTGGTTGCCAGCAGGAAGCTGACAACAGCTGGAAATATGTCAACAAAATCATGCATGAAGTGGACGAACTAACCCAGATCATTGCTAACATATTCCAGGGCTCCATGTTCTCAAAAACCGAGCACGACCTTGCCAAAAGTGAGGCCACAGGAAGGCAATGTTCTTCCAGTTGCACAATATCTGCAGGCCCCAGCCCTGGGCCAACACCGAATGAGTGAGCCCCTCTCTGCAAAATGTAATAAATGCTGGGTTCTGTGCATGCAAAACAAAAAAATAATAAAAATCATAGTCTTTAGGTGTTGCCCCTATGTTTACATCACCCCCAAACACCCCACCCCTAAAGCAACTAGAAATCTATTTTTAATCATTATATATTTGCCTTTTCTGGACATTTCATATAAATGGAAGCTTATAATATGTAATCTATGACTGCTTTCTTTCATTTAGGATAATGTTTCAAGGTTCATTCAAGTTAAGGTATATATCAGTACTTCATTCCTTTTTTTTTCCCCCCTTTGAAAGTCTTTATTAAAGTTTCTGAGCTCATGCTGAATACTCTCATCGAGTAACTACATTTATAGCCAGATCCATCACACATGTCTTATTGTCACTAAGCAATAAAGGCAATAATAAATACAATAGGACAAGCATCAACTGCTATTTATTAAGCACTTACTATGTGCCTGCCGTACTGATAAGCAATTTATATACACATTTAAAATACTTTCTAAAATATTTCAGAAAATCACATCATTGTGGAAATGATAGTTTGGTTTTATTTTTAGAAAATGAACTACCTATAGGGTTAAGAGAACTCAAGAGAACCAGCTAGTAAAGTTAGCTTGAACTATTCTCACTTATTTATTTAGGGTCCATCAATAATTAAGCTGTCCCTTGAGGCCACCAGCATACCATTTAATTCTGCTACACTGTACTGAAATTGCTTTGAAAAAGTTCCTGTTGTTACATTATTTACTACTGTTGCATCAGCATACTAAGTCACACTGGTAGCTCTCTGCTAATAAAATAGTTTATTTTTCAGGGGATAGATTACTAGTGGTAAATCACAGCCATGATCATCTAAACTCCAAAAGAGTAAAAGGTAAAAATTTCATCCAAAGCATGAAATTCTAATGCTACTCTTTGATCTAATAATTCTACTTCAAGGAAGTACAGCATAAGAAAAATGTCACAGATGTGTAAAAGATATAATGTTCATTAAAAGGAAAATAACATGGCCATGCAGATAGCGAAACACTATGCAGGCATGAAGTATCCTGTTGTAAAAGATAATTTCTAGATACGGAATGCTAACAGTATTTCACATGAAAACAGCAGGCTCCTAAGCTATATACATTAGAATCTCAATGTTATAAATATATATAATTATGTTTGTATACTACACATATACATGCATATACATATACATATGAAACTGAAAAGATATAGCCCAAAATATTAAGAGTAGGTAGTATTAATATGGGCAATTATTTCCATTTTTATATTTATTTTAGTGTTTTCTCAATTCCTACAATTATATATATTTTTATACTAAAAGGAAATACTCAGATTAGTAGCTTTCAGATTTTTTAAAACATACAGACCTTTTCCTTAAAACAAGGTTAGAGCCTTAGAGATCTGTAGTGGATTGGTATCTTTAATTTATATTAACTTTATGTGAATATTAACTTTAATGAATATTAACTTATTTTAAATGAGCTAAAGAAAACAACATTTTTACTCCTGTGAAATGTCTTTGTTTTATTTAACACTGGGGTATTTAAACAGAATATGACTGGCTTTGATCAAACATTTTTTTAAATGCACACAAATTCTCAGATCTTACTGGTAATCTCTCTTTCCTTTCAGATTAGGCCACACAATCAACAATACCAAAATGGGCTAACTGAATTCCTGTCAGTCTGAATCTGAGGACCTATGTATGGTATTTATGGCAAAATCAGGTAATTCTCAATGGCTTGGGGTCAGTTTCTGCTGCTTGAATCCCTGCCCATAACTTAGGTGACTGACAGATTTTGCTGCGCCATCCAGAACTCTCATTCTTCAGGATTTTCATTAAAAAATGAATAAGCGCAGGAACCACAGTGTCCCATTTTCAGAAGTCTCTGACCTATGCACTGTGTCACAGCTCCACTTCCTACTGAATAATTCCAACAAAGTGATAGTAACTATGAACTCTCTGAGACTTATGGGCAAAGACAAAATGCATACCAGCCAGCCTGGTTCTGCATTTTATATTTCTGAGTCCTCTGTTTCCTCATCCCTAAATGCGGATTCTAATACCTGTTTATTGGGCAGCTGTGAGGAAGAGTGAGCTAATGTGTGAAAAATATAGAGCAGAGGGCTTGGTGCACAGTTAATATTCAATTAAGTGGTAGCATACAGATGTCATCATTACTGGTGAAGGAATTAATTATACTTGTGCAGCACATATTTAGGCAAACCAAGGAAGGATAGAAACATTAATAATATGAAAACAATCCATGGGGAAATGACAGACATCAAGATAATTTAAAACACCCAGAGATGATTTAACATATGCAAATGTTAACATTTTATGGTACTTCCTCTAAACTACATACTTTTATTAACATTCTTAAAATTGGAAAATAAGATCATGTGATAAGGTGCTTAAATACAGTGATTACCACAAACTGGCTGTGGTCTTTCCTGCATTTGTGACTGCTGGCATTAATTACATTTTTATGCATAGAGTATGAGCTGCACTTTTTTTGGCTGTAGCACCACACCGGATGTGGAACACTCTCTTTCAGCATGAATAATAGAAAGAAGGCAGCAAAAAGATCTCATCACTCTGGGAGGGAAGGCTGGGGAACAGGGCAAAAGGCACCTCACCACCCCCTCATTCTTTGGGAAAGAAGCGAGGGTTGATAATGAAGCGAACCCATGTGTGCTACGCTTCTCCAATTTCTGGCTGTCTCCTAAAATGACAAAGCAGAACTTGAAAGTTAAGAGCACAGCCCTACTCTGTTCATGTTTACGCTGTCCGTATTTAACCACAGGCCTGGAATTCAATACCTCTTATGGTTGAATGAATGAAGAAATCAATGAAGCCTCAAAGCTAAGACTCTTCCTGAGAAATAGATGGAGGGGACCTGAGAGTCACAGAGGGGTTGGCTGACACACGTATTCATCAG